AATACAGACAAACAGAATGCAGCAAATCATCAAGAATATTATACAATATGGCCAAATAGGATTCATTCCAGAGATGCAGGGATGGTTCAACATGTGCAAATCAATAAAGGTAGTACAGCACATTAACAGAGCCAAAGATAAAAACCATGCAATCATCTCTATAGATGCAGAAAAACTATTTGACAAAGCCCAACATCTATTCAAAAAAAAAAAAGAAAAGAAACCTAAGAAAGCTGGAATAGATGATTTCCATCTCAATCTGATAAAAACCATCTATGGCAAATCAACAACCAGCATCATACTAAATGGACAAAAACTGAAAGCTTTCACTCTAAAATCAGGAAAATGACAAGGATACGTATTATAACTACTCCTGTTCTATATAGTTCTGGAAACATTTGCCAGAGCAATTAAATGAGAGAAAAAAATAAAAGAAATAAGGCTAACCCTAACCCTAAAATATCATTATTTACAGATAATATATTTGACATAAAAGACCCCAAAAACTTCACCAAAAAAGACTTGTAGATTTAATATCCAAATTAAGTAGCATAGCAAGATACAAAATCAGCTCTCAAAAATCAACAGCATTCCTATACATGAATAACAAACCCATGGACAGAGAAATTAGGGAAACAACAGTTTTTACAGTAACATCCAAAAACATGAAACACCTAGGAATCAATCTGAAGAAAGAAGTAAAAGACATTCATATTGAAAACTATAGTACTCTGAAAAAGATCAAAGAGGATATCAGACAATGGAAAGATATGTGCTTTTTTTTTTTTAACTTTTGTCCTTTTGAGACAGGTTCTTACTATGCAGTTCAGGCTGGCCTTGTGCTCTCTTTGTAGCCCAGGATAGTCTCGAACTTACAATCCTCCTGCCTCAGCCACCCAAGTGCTGGAATTACAGGAATGCACCACCACACCTGGCTATATTTCTTGTATTTTAGTAGAAAGAACCAATATAGTGAAAACGGCCATGCCTGAAATATTGCTATACAAATTTTTTGCAGTCTCCATCAATACACCTATACTTAGAAGATGTAGTTTTTTTTATACAATAGAGTACTATTGAGTCATGAAGAAAAATAAACTTGAGACATTGATAGCTAAGTATATGGACCTAGAGACCACATTCTTAACTGACACACATGTGCAAAGATCACATTGTCTGACTGGTGTGAGAAACTTAAAGTATAAATAAGAACCAAAGTATATAGTAGGTATTGTGAAATAGGAAGAAATTGTTCAAAAGGAAAAAGGATATTGGAAGGGGAAGGGGAGAGGAAGGAAGGAAAAATTTTTAAATGAGAAAAAAAGATAGTATGGAAACAAAACTTTGTCAATAAGGAGGGGAAGAGGGGTGAAGGGAGGGAGAGCAGTAAAAAAAGAGGAATCAAGATATATCATGTCTGGGTACAAATTCCATATGATGAATGTGATCATTGTATATAATGAAAAGGTGCCAATAAACTTTAAAAAATAAACAATACTGCCACTTTATGAACGGTACAGAAGTCTTAGCTTAGGTTAACTGTATTTACCATCTGTATCCCCGTGAGTTATTATTATCGTATGCTTTACTTCTACACATATTAGAAATCCTCATAGGGCATAATTTTTGAAAATTTCACTCATTTTTTAAAGTACACCTTTTATTATTTTCCTCTATTGTCATTCGTTTTTACAGCACAAGAACTTATCTACATTCTGCTACTTTTTAAGAAAGTTGTGTGCTTGATGTTATTCTATATTTTTATTAGAGCTCGCAATATTTCTTCTTCCTCCCTCCTCTCCTTTCTTTCCTTTCCTTTCCTGCTTCCTTTCTTTTCCTTTTCTTCTTTCCCTTCCCTTCTGTGCCCTTTCATCCCTCTTTCTTTTCTCTCTCTTTCCTTCCCTCCTTCCTTCCCCCTTTCCTTCTCTTAACTCTGTGATACACGAAGTTGCACCCCGGCCCTTCACATTAAGCTACATTCTCACTCCTTTTTTTGTTTTACATTTTAGGACAAGGTCTCACTAAGTCATTAAATTGCCCACTCTGGGCTCAAATTACAACCTTGTGCCTCGGCTTCCCAGAGTGCCTGGACTACAGGCATGCACTGCCATCTCCGGCTTCAATATTTATTGAGCACATCCAACAAAGAGCTTATACACAACAGAGAGTAAGAGATTCTCTGTGCCCACAAAAAGTGCCTAGCTTAATGTGCTGGAAAGTGGAGCTTTAAGAGTACTGACGAAAAAACAGCAAGTCCAAATGAAGATAGAGACAAAATGGCACAGCAGCCAGTGGAATTGGGGGAAATCTGTTTCTCTTCTAGACCTATCCATTTGTCTCCAACTTTGACTCCTGGGGGAAATCTCAAGTTTCTCCTCCCTGCTCTAAAAAATGACCTTTACCATCCCCACCTCCTGTATACTCCCACATCAAAGCACCTGAAATCTGGTCACTTCCCTGACATTCTTTAGGGAAGATAGTGAAATCGAGGAACAACCTGGTAAAGCAAGGCGCTGAATAACTTCATGGTTTTTCATGTTAGAAAAGTTTGTCACTTCACTGCGATGGGTGCCTGGTTTATAAAGTTATCTCCATGCTAAAGAACCTGTAACTCATGTTGACTGCTTCTATCAATCATCTTCAGGGCAGTGTGCCTCAGTGCTCCTGGCAGGAAAACCTTTTTTAAGGATCACTGTGAGGCCAAAGTGGATCCCATGGCCACAAAGCTATAAGGCAAAGTGCTTGGTGTTCATCAATATCCGACCAGAGAGAATTGGCATTTATTTACCTGCCCTACTTATTTAGTACCCTCCAAATAATTGGAGTTTGTACTTTCAAATATTTATGGAGGCTCTTCCCCAGTAGCACAGGGCTAATGGTTAGCCAGTGCTTGGAGCCCCTGGTGGAATAGCTTTCTCCCAGCTCCATCGCATTCTCCCTTCTTCTCTTCCCAATTAGAAATCTAAGGTTCAAGAACTGGCTCTAAGAACCAATCACTGGCTAACTTTTGTAACTGTCTCAGTAGAAAAATTTGTGGACATGGATTTGAGAGCCAACATGTAAATGTATCCAGAAGCATAAGAACACTGTAGTTTAGGGTATCCTTCTATGCACAGTGTGGTGGCCCATGCCTGTAATCCCAGCACCCTGGGAGACTGAGGCAGGAGACTTACAAGTTTGAGCCCAGCCTGGACAATTCAGTCACTTAGCAAGATCATGTCTCAAAATAAAAAAACAAAAAGAATGGTTGGGCTAGTATGGAAAAAAGAAAGTATCCTGCTAATCTTGTTCTCTCTCTAAGGAACAGTCATTGTTTAATTTAATATCAGTTTGTTTTGGTGTTGTCTGGCTCAACAACACACATCAAGCTTCTGATCCTTCCTTCAATTTTTTCTTTTTCCATTTTATTACAAACTTAACCTCTGCACGCCAGGCCCTGCGCTGGGGAAGATGTCATGGGTCAGAAAGTTTGTACAGAGAATAGGGCAAGGTCCTCGGGAATGTCTTTGTCCTTGAGGAACAAGAACACACAGAGCACTATGAGGCAAAAGGTGACAAGGGCCACAAAAGGGATGTGGATAAAGTTCTGCAGGAGTTCAAATAAAGCAGAGATTTCTACTGTGGAAAGGAAAGGTTTGGTGTGAGAGACTGCTGGACATGGATGGATGAGGGGTGGCACGCTGATGAGGAACTGGAGGGTCAGGAAAGGGTCAAGGCCACAGCGGTGATGATGGAACAGGACAGGGAACCTAGAGAGGAGAGGAGGAGCTAAAGAAATAATATGGGAGTGGAGGATGTGATCTTGCTTCATTTTAGAGGCAAGGAAATTGATGCTAACCTGGGTGTAGTTCTCTGGTTGAACCTAAAGCTACGGAGGGCTGGATTCAAGGGGATAAATGTTTGGAGAAGAGGTGACCATAAAGAACATTCTCAGTATTATTTCAGACTATGGATAATGAGATTAACAGAGTACACCAAAAGGGAAGTAAAGAGTACAAGATCTAGACCAAAGAAGTCAGTGTCTCTTGGTGAGTGGTAAAAACTGTTGCTTATTGAAACAAGCTAACCCACGCAACCCCTTTTCTCACAAATATAGAAAATAGCTGAATTCTGAGTTAGGCTATTCCATCTGTAAATGGTGGTTTAGTGGAGGAGGGAGGATGTAGATGAGGGCAGAGTAATGAAGAAAATAAGGAAGCGAATCAGCAGTGCTCCCCCAACACCCCACACCCTGACTGTACAACCATGCTACCAGGATACTAGAGGAAAATGATTTTTAAGTATCCAGTATTTATCAAATGCAGAGTAACAATGGAAAAAAGAGGTTAGATATGGATGGCTTATAGATCAGATAATGACACACAGATGGCTCAGAGCCCAAGGCACTAAATAGATGTGTTACCATTGTCACTCAGAGACCACTTGAAACAAACTAGAGGGGATAGTTACAGAGGAAAAAGTATGTGTGCTCCTTGCACAATCACATGCAAGTGCACACACACACATATGCACATTGTCATTATATTTCAGTTTCCTCTGGAATAAAACTTCAACTGAGAGAATCAGTTTCAACTTTGGATCTTTGCTTCAGTACACCGAGCCACTGGTGTCTCCAGCAGTTGTAGAATCTTGAAGATCTTGGTAGAAGCTTGGAGACAGGGGAGAAGAGTGGAGGAGAGGAGAGGGCTGGGGACCCTGGTGTGGATATTTCTGCTGCTTGTTGCAGCTTGTGAAGTAAACGATGCTGTTGCTCCCAAAGAGCATGTGTCAGAGGTTTGACATCCTCTGGTTCTATGAGTGAGAGGAGAGACTATTGTTCAGGATGAGACAACTGAGCCCCTGAGAAGTTAATTTTGTCTAAAGCTGTGCACAGGCCTTGCCAGATTTGACTGGCAAATCTAGTGAGTTTTCCCTCTGGCAATCCATCTGCCTACCTTTTGTTAGTCTCATAATGCTTCTCAAAAGGTGACCAGGCTGACCTCTGGAGCCAGGTGACTCACCTCTGGTGGGCTGCAGGGAGCAGGTGCACAGGGGTGAGGGACACTTCCCGAATCACCCTCTTCACTCGCAGGACTTGCCTCACTGGAGTCAGCAGCCGCTGCATTTCTGGAGGAGCGAGCAGAAAGCTAGCAGTTCACAACCCTTGGGAGAGATGTCTAGCAATTCCTGGTTGGGCTTTATAGCACCGTGAATTCCTGCCTCCTAAAGCCCCACCTCAGCTTACAGCACCTCAGCCTGCTTCTAAAACTGGGCCAAAGGTCTCGCTCGCTCAGCACAGGAGCGAGTCAAAGAAAAACATTGTCTCTCCCACATGTACACACCTGCCCCGTTCCTGGGTGTGTGTAACAGTGGCTGGCTGTGATTCTTTCTTTCTCTGGCTCTTCCAGCAGCATTTGTATGCCCGTCTGCCTATGGAGAAAGGCTTTTACATTACTTCTGACATGCCTGAGGATAACACTAATTAACCTAATTAACCTCTCAGACACTGACTTTTCATCTCAGTGAGTCTTGGTCTATAATCCTCTTTGTGGTGTTAGCTATTATTCTTTTAATGTATTATGCATTATAAGAAAGAACTATTTCAAAACCAAAGGGAATGAATCTTTTTTTTTTCAGCTTTTTTAATACAGGGTCTTGCTGCATATTTCATGCTGGCCTTGAGCTCACTACATAGCCCAGGCTGGGCTTTGAATGCAGCAGTCCTCCTGCCTCAGTCTCCCAAGTGCTGAGATAACAGGCATGTGCCACCACACCTAGCAGAATGAATCTCTTAATAGTAGCCCCTCAAGTGATGGGAATGGATACTGGCACATAAGCAAAGGGCTAGGTATTAGGGCATATGGAATCTGCTATATATTTCTCTTATCTTTATTGTTCATCAATATGTTTCAACATCTTTGTACAATTTCCAAATAGGATGCAATTAGTCCCGCAGTAGAGGTACAGGATCCCCTATGAGGTGACTGTTATTTGAAGCTCAAGGTCTCCTAAGAAAGAAAGATCTACTTTAAGGACAAAGTAAAAGACTTGTGCTGTAGCACAGAAAGTAAAGCATTTGCCTAGCATGCTCGAGGTTTTGGGTTGTTCCCTAGTACCAAAGTGAAAAAGGGATTCAGTAATAAATATGCAGAAAGGTGGGATTTTTTTTCCCCCAGAGACTTATAGCTGGTGTGTGGTGGGTTGGGAACTCAACTATGTCTTTTGACTCCAGTTTCTGATCCTTCTGTTTTGCTCTTATGTTTTTCAGTGAAAAAGTTCCTTTCATCTGATATTCCTTTTTTATAATTTTTATTTTGACTGTGCTAGCACATGACTGTAGTACACACTGATTACATTCAGCATGGGGAGTAGGTACATGTATATAACACATCTTAATTCTTTTTAAGGCCCCTCCCTTGCCCCCTTCCCCCTCTAAAGGAATCTCTGCCTCCCTCCCTCCCATAACACCAATCTTCCATGAGCTCCAGATATTTCTTTACTCCATTCAGTTAGCCTCTCAAATATGACTCTGTGGAGGACACAGAAAAAAACAAGAGTAGTTCCTGCACTAGGGGGAAGAGTTGACCTCCTTTTCCTGATGACAGGGCACCTCTAGATGTCCCCTATAGGTCTAGGACCCTAAATCTTCTATTATCTTCAGAGTCTTATTTCCATACATCTTGGTGTTACTACTCTTAACAGTCTCCCACCTCGTGCTGTCACTCTGCCCTTCCACTGAGCCTCTTGCAAAGTTCTATCATGAATAAAAGTCTTTATTTCCTGTCTCTTCTACTAAATGCCCACTTTTGTCTGTATCAACCTTCAATCTTTCAATGATGTCTGTGCCCTTTGCTTCCCTGTCACACAGCCATTGAAACTCGCTGCACTTCAGTGCTTAGCATAAACCAAGTCTCTACTTTGCTCTTCATCAATACTTCAGAGTACTTTTGTTCTCCATCCTTGCAGAAGCTCTTATTATCTTAAAGCAAAGCAATCTATCTGGGCCACCCAGGGCACCTGTTTTTGAAGTCCACTAGCAGTCTCGTTCCACTTCCTGCTATCAAAAACATTCATGCACATGGACCAACCCTTCTTCTCCACCACCAATCCTCCCAATGTGGCTAATAGACATCCTTCTCCACGTAAGACAGTCCATCTTCCCTGGCCTCTCATTGCAGGTTCTCACTTCAGCATTTGTGTTTTCCACACAGTTTCATCCTTCACTCCCATAGTCATAATCTTGACCTTGTCATTATTTTGTATCTCCCATCTCCAACATTTTAATTTCATGCATCCCAATTTTTTCAAGGTACACCATCACAAATAATTCCCACTCACATTTTGCCATTCATTGTCTCTCACCTAGCAAATCTTCAGCTGTGGTTGAACTCAAGTCTTTATTGGTTCCACACTTGAATCTGAGCAGCTAAACATGGCTGAAAGAAAAGCACAACATCATACAAACTGCTTGGGTTCACATTTACAAAATGTACCCCAAGCAGATGGACCCTCAGCATAGCTTGGCGGTTCTACTGCATTTTGCCTGAGAGGGTTTGTCATAACCTGGGGTCTTGTCTTCAGCCCTTCTTTGCTCATATGGTCACCTTGAGTCTTGTTTCACTGAGAACACAGGAACAATCAAACAAAAGCTGCTCCACTTTCCATTAGCAAGTGAACAAATGGCCTGCCTTATACCCACAGAGAGGAACAGGTCCTGCTCTGACTTTGGGCCACTATCATTATTTATGTAGAATGCATGGTCTCTTTTCTGCACAAGGATTATTCTCAGTTATCCCCTTTTCCTGGTGTTCAATCTTCCCTTTTTACAAGGTTGTTATTATCTTGTACAATCCAATCCTTCATAAAACTCTCTTGACCCTATATGTCTTAATGAGTATGTTACCAAGTCTATATTCTCTTCTGCAACAAAATTATTAAAATGTCAGTGTTACATATCCTTACATCTTCTGTCTTTAGTTGACCCCTTCCACACTTCACTGAAATCTCTCTTATCAAGGTCAGCAGCAACTTCCTCATTGCAAAATCTAATGTTTGGTCCTGAACCTTCTGTTTCCTAGATCTGTCAGGAGTAGAAGGAAGTCTGTTCTCCCTGCTTCTCAAAGCACTTTTCACTTAGCCTACAGACTTGACAGTTCGACAGTCTTCTCCAAATTGCTTGTCACTTGTTACAGCTACTCATTCTTCTCTGACCTCCAAGTTTTGGAGTCATAAAGTAATCCTCACATACTCCTTTTTTCATAAGATGGGTGGAACTGAGTAGGAGCTTTAAGCCTGTATATAAATGTTCACAGAGGATTACAGATACATACTGGACAACTTGATAAAATTGAAGATCAAAACCATCCAATCTAATACTATATTTTTTGTTGTTGTCATCACCATTTTTTGAAATAGGGTCTCACTATGTAGTCAGTCTGACTTTGTACTTACTATGAACCTCTTGCCTCAGTTTCTCAAGTGCTGAGGTTACAAGCATTCACCCCAACACCTGACAAAACTGTACACAGTACATATAAAACATTGTGATAAGCACTGTTGAAGGAAATGGACCACAACAGTGGTGTCTAGAGAAGACACAAATTAAAACAGACATTTTTATTTTTGCTTTGAGATTATGGAATCATTCAATTTCAAAATACAGAATATACATGAAAGGACAGATTAATAAAAGCGTGTGGTAGGTGTTAGATAAATAAACTGATAAGTCAAATAGATTATTAGGAGGTTTTAAAAGTTTAGACATCTAGTGTGAGCTGTTGCAAAAATAATGTTTCTTTTTTAAGCAATTTTTGAAGAGAGGTTGTTTAGGACAGAAAAATTATGAACAAAGTCCCCAACCTTCTAGACCGGCTCCTTTAACCCACCCAAAGTCTGTGTTCTTCTCCTCAGAGAGCCACTGTCATCCGTTCCACAAACGCTCTGAATGACTGAGAAATAGAAACAATATCCTCACTCACAGATTGGTACTTTCCACAACCTGAAGGAGAAACTTTCCAGCAGTCTAGATATCAGAAAGTGAGTAAAAAAAATTTTATGGCAAGACTAGACTTGCAGAAAAGTCTACTGTTTATTTCATAATAGCACAAATGAAGTACAACCACATCCAATGCTCTACCAGTTTCTAAAGTTACATGAGCTGTACTTCAACAGTTCTATGAAGTTGACTGAATTTTGAAAGCTGTGAGAGATTGAGGCTGTAAGAGATTAAGTGACATGGCTGATCGATATATGAATAGCAAACAACAGTGACTAGGGATGGACAAACCTGAAGCTCCAAATCTAGGGCTCTTTCATCTCACCTACATGGGAATGCAGCTGTGAAAGGGAAAGACCAACAGTATTTGTGACCGTGTCTCTGCTGTCTCTCTTTTTTTCTAGGCCTTGCCTTTGGTGATTGCCTGAGATGAAATGCAGATCTCTGGTTTTAAATCCTCTGGAGTTTGGTGAACAAGGAATGTATAAACCTATGGGTAGTGTGGTTGGATCTCTGTCTCAGGTCAGAGTTCCTGAAGAAAGTAGGGGAAAGGACATGGAGAAGCAAAACAATGAGCTGTGGTGCTGTGATGTGACAGGTTTGCCCTGCCTTTTTTCTTTATGATGTCAAATATGTTTTTATTAGTGAGCTAATCATGAACTAGATACGATCTGATCCACCAAGTATACAATTTGTGTGTACAGAAATTTTGCATTAAAGAAAAAAAGGAAAAAGGAGCTCTCAATCAAATGGAAATAATATTATGATTGGGCCTGCCAAGCCCTGAAGGCAGAAGTTACACAAAGAACTGCCCTGACACATCTCATCCATCCTCTAGGAAGCAGACCCAGCAAGACAATGTGGCGTGTCAACCAGAAAGACAATATTTTCTGGAAGATCTAATGATTAGAGATAGTATAGTTGCCCCTGATTTCGACTAAACCAAGAGAAGTGTTTCGTGGCATCCTTTCTCAGGCATCTATTGTCAAAGAATTCATCTTCACAGACCTTTAAACAGTTTGAAAAACAATTCTAGTCTCACAGACATTTTATATCAATAACAAATAATGTGTCACAAAAATACCGGTTTGCACAAGTAATTATCCGTTCTTTTTCTTTCCTTCTTCTTCTCTTTTTGAGCTCTTTGAATTTATTGATAGATAATTATGCAGTATTTGCCTAGTTATCACCATAATTTATATTGTGTGCTCTTTGATTATGTCAAAACTTCTGAC